GCGGGAGGGGCCGGGCAGGGGCACGGAGGATGGGCCGAGACCCACCCCTGTGCCCACCACAGCCTTGCAGCCCACAGTTCCTTTCAAGGTGCATGAATTCATGCACTGGTCCCCTAGTTAATATTTATAATAGTTTTTAATTTTACTTACGAATTTAAAGTGTGAGTATATTTTAATTGAGTTGTTTTAACAGTTGAAAACATCCTGAAACGTTATACTGATTTTGAACTCAAACTGAGTATAATTTGAAAATAATTGATGAATAATTTTTAAATATCCAAGCCATAAAGCTATTCATGCATTCATTCAGCAGCTATATCAAATGCCTAGTATGTAACATACTGTGCAAGGTATTTGGCAGGTAGACACAGAAATATAGAGATCTGTACATGAACCAGACCTAATAAAAACCTGCATCTATTAATGATAGCTATGGTGAAAAGGGATTGGGGGATACGTGGAAGGAAATGGGGCTTGGAAGTATTATTTTTAGAAGACTCCTCTGAAGAAATTAGCTTTAGGACAGGATCAGAGGAGGAGATGTGGGCGGGCATTCTACCCAGAGGCCCTTTTTGCCTGGTTTATAGATGTGCTTTTATTGAATGACAGTTTATAATGTAAACTTTAGGAATTTAGTGGAAACACTTTAAGATTTTGTGCTTACCAAAGAGAAAGGAATGACTTCTGATGAGATAAGAGTAGGTAAGTTTGGAAAAGTCATGTTATATAAAAGAGAGACTAAAACTTGCTCAAATCCCCTGAACATATCAGGATATAGTCTTATGTAGTTTCACTACCAAAAAAGTCAAAACCTTAATATGTATCCCTCAATAATGAATAAATGTACAAAATGTCATATAAGATTTTTGTGTGTTGGTCCATTATTTTAAGAAGATTCATATTTTACAATATGCATTACTTATTTTGACTGAGCACTATTTTCCTTGTTTCTTTACTCACTGTTGATTCTTGCATCCTACTCCATTTATGTTCCCTTTTTCCTTGCTTAAGTATGTCCTTAATAATTAGCAAACGTCTTTGGGCAATAAATGTTTAGGCCCTGTTTATCTGAAAATGTCTTTATTTTGTTCTCAACCTAATGGTCATTGGACACTAGACAATTCTAATTTTCCACATACTTTCCCTCAGCAACTTAAATATTCCACTGACAGTATGTATACTCTTGCTAATGAAAATCTGGATTTCCTTCCCTAGAAATAATGTCTTTTTCTCTAGTTGCTTTTTTTATTTTTAGTTAAGAATTTCAACTTATTTTGATGTGTATAAAATTAAAATAAAGCAAAATAATTAAAACTGGCTGTAAAGTTTTTTTATAACAAAAAAGTGTAATCATAAAATAAGACATTGATAATTAGATTTAATCAAAAGTTGAATCTTCTGTTCTTCAAAAGACACTGTTAAGAAAATGAAAATGTTCCCTGGCTGGTGTGGTTCAGTGGTTGGAGTATGCCTGAGCACCAAAGGATCTTGGGTTCAACTCCCGGTCAATGGCATGTACCTGGGTTGCAGATTTGATCCTGGCCTCCAATTGGGGAATGTCCAGGAGGCAACCCCCTCCCTCCCTTCAACTTTCTCTAAAAATCAATGGAAAAACATATCCTCAGGTGAATATTAACCTCACCACCCCCCCCCCAAAAAAAGACTGAAAATTGAAGCATCAACCGGGGGAATATATCTGAGAAATATTTCTGATGAAAAATAAAAGACAAATCA